CCCGGCCCCCCCCGGCGCCCCCCCCCCTGCCCCGACTGCCCCCCCGCGGCCAACAACATGCCCCCCACAACCCCACCCATGAACACCCCCCTCGCCGGGGCCCCCATGATGCCCCCCATGATGCCCCCCGCACGCGGACTCGGCACTGAGCCCCTCGGCATGGCCATGGGCATGGGCATGGGCCCCATGACTGGCTACGGCTACCCCCCCATGATGGACTCCACGCCCGACTTCCCCGCCTTCAACGAACCCATGGGCTACCCCACAGACCCCATCAACTCCATCCCCACCATGAACAACATGGAAACTCCCTTCGAAAACACCAACTACCGCAACCTCGCCCCCCTTGACATGCCCCCCTTCTTCCCTGACACCCCCATGAGACCCACCACCATCCCCACCCCCTTCAGCTTCGTCCCCACTCCTCCGTAAGTCCCCCTTAATAATATTAATAATAATAATTATTATTATTATTATAATGAGCTGCGTTGGTCTGCGCGGCACTCGATTTGGGCTGCTTTCTGCTTTTGGGAACTGCAGGATGGCTTTCTAAAGGCTCGAAGTGGACACTGCTCGGAGTTCTCCATTAACTAGCCCGACTCTGTTATTTCATTTTATTTCCATTTCCCATTTCGCTCTTTTGCGTGGCGCTCTGAACAGAGCGGGTCGGCCTTCGCGAACCGCGAAGGCAGAACCCTCAACTTCTTTTCTCAATCTTTCAAAGCACTTGGGTGTGAACAGTGGCACGGCTAGTTGAATACTCAGTGGCTAGCTGCTTTCTGGAGTAGACTTTAGACCCTAAACCCTCATATTTGCAAAAGAAGAGTACATAATGGACTTTCAGAAGTGAAAATGTACTTCTATAAGCCGCAATTAGGAAGTCGAGAGCCATGAGCAGGACTGCTTGCGATAAAAGCAAGAAAACGCCTTCTGGAACTTCGGCTTCTTGCGCATGCAAACCAAGAAAGATATGAGCTGTTGACAGTTTGAATAAACAGATACTTTTGTCTCAGGAAAGAAGAAAAGAGTTCAGGGAATACAACTTCTTCTTCCCTTCGTATCTGGAAAGTGTCAATAGCCGGGAGGATCAGCTGCTGCTTCGCACATTCCGATGCAGCTTTCTTTTTGCACGGACTGCTGCTTCTGAGAATGAACTTTGTTGCACTTCGCTTGCAGGACAAAGTATGAGTTTTAAAGGTACAAGTCTATAGGTAAAAACTCAGCCGCATCTACTGATGTGCTATATTGCTGCCTTTTGCTTCTACAGAAACTGCACTGCCCTTGCCGGCCTGGCTTCTTTGAATGTTAAGAAGTCCAGATGCACACATATATTAGAAAGATTTCACATTTACATAAATTAAACCAATCATACATTCATTTGAATTGACACCTCGCACTTTGTTTCATGTTGTGCAAAACGAGAAGTGCTCATCTGTTTGATTTGTCTGATGCAACAATTGAGTTCACGCCGAGCTGTTTCTCTTTAATTCGCCTTTTTAATCGGGGAAATATTATTTGCAATTAAGATTTCAGTTTTAAAATCTCGGGCTTGTGCATAGTGCGTTTGATCGGTTGCTGCTGCACTTGGCAGTTGATGCAGCTGCGTCCTCGAGAACCAGCAAAGCCGCCAATACAACAACAGGTATTCCTAAAAACAGTTTTTTTCACATTTAAAAAACAAAAAGCAGCATAAAGAAATACAGTTTCTCGTTCGAGGAAGATATTTCAAGTAGCCGGTGCAGCCTGACTCTGTAGAGTCTTCAGCAGTTTCAGAAACAGAACACCAAATGCAGCAGATTCTCTTGAAACTCCGTGGAAACTGAAAGCACACCTCCTTTTTAAAGAGGAAAAGGGAGTGGGGAATGCACTGAATAGTACAATATGAAGTTTTCCTTAGTTTGAATTCACATGAAGAGAATGCGAGCACGATGAAACACGTTCGGAACAGACTCAGGAGGCCTCTCCTTTCCCCTTTCCATTTGAATTTATATTCTTTGTATTTTATTTTGGGTAATGGGACTGGAAAATCTGGTTGTCGAAGCACAAAGAAAGGAGCGAGAAGTGAAGATGAATCTTCGTGGTGCTCGTGCACACTCGATCGTTGCTGCTGCCAGCGGGTATTTCGAACCAGAGTCAGCACACTACACTTTTTGTTAAATTTTTCGGTTTTAAGTATTTTAAAAGGCGAAGAGCTGCACGGAAGTGTTCAGGAACATGGATTTTGGAGAGCGCATCAGCGCGGAAGGGAGGAGTGGCGCTGCGGCGGGGAAACTGCCCGAAAGTGTGTTGTCCTTCGTTATTTCTGTGTTAAAAGGACTCAAAAAATAAAATAAAGTTGAATTTACACTTTAGTTAGAGAAAGGAGCGCTGCTGCGGGTGAGGAGCGAAGATGTCGCGTTTGGACTTGCAGGTGACCCGGGGTGCGCGCTGCGGAGCGCGGCCTGGGGCCGGAGCGGGGAAAAAGCCGGAAAAGAGAAGAGGAATTAAAACAAAAGGGGAAGTTGAAGAGATATGCAAAAGGAGAGAAAGAAAGGGTTTTGTTTGCGTCGAAAGATAGCGAGACGGCGAGCGCCTGCGGCGCAGGCACGCACCGCCGGGCGACTGTGCAGGCTGCTGCGCCTCTCCTCCCCGCGGGGGGGGCCGTTCGGCGGCTGCTTTCGAGCGGAAAGCGGGGAAAGTTGGCTGCAGTTTATGTTTTTGTTGCGTTGAGAAAGAAAAGGCAAGTCGAGGAGCAAAGGCAGCAGCAAGCATGGCGCGCGCAGCGGCAATAGCCGGCTTCCTGGCCCTGGCCGCGGGGCGGGGCGTTGCACTGCCGACGGTGAACACGGCGGCGCACCCCGTGGAGTGGGAAGAGGCCGCCACAGCAGTGCCGACTGCAGCACGAGAAGCTGCTGCTGCAGCAGTTTCGCTGAACGAGGCCATCAGCAGCAGCAGCAGCAGCAGCAGCAGCATTCCGCGGATGGTGGAGGCGGCGAGCGAGCCGCCGCAGCAGCAGACCGCCGTGCAGGAGGCCGTCTTGGAGGCGATCATGCGGGAAATGCAAAACATTTTCCGAAACACTTTAACAGTTCCTGGTTGGGAGACGATGGACACTGCCGCGGACTCGGTGCGGCAGATCGTGGCGCGCGTCCGCGAGCGCCTGACCACTGGTCTCGCGGACACTGACACCACTGGTCTTCCCCTGACCACCGCCGCAGCCCTCCGCGGAGTTACTACGGACTTTCTTCGGGAAATTATGGTCCAAGAAGCTGTAATTGAGACTCTTTGGGCAGTGCTGCGGGACGCACAGGCCCGGCCGTGGGCCGCCAGCGAGCAGCAGGCGCTGCACGTGGCCGCCGCGCAGGCCGTGCAGGGCTTTCTGGAGCGCATGCAGGACCGGCTGAGGTCCACTGGTTTCTCTGAGGAGGAGATCTTCCGCCTGATGCCTCGCCAGCGGTCTTGCGCGCGCGAGGGGGCCCCCGGGGGGCCCCCCGGGCTCTTCGAGGCCTGCGCGGAGCCCAGGAACCTGGGCAAAAGGGGGGCCCCCAGCTACGGGTACCCTCTCTACTACCCCAGCTACCACTTCCCAGCCTTCTACAGCTACCCCGCCTTCGGCTGCAGCAGCTGCAGCAGCAGCTGCGGCTACTACGGCGGCTGCGGCTGCGGGGGCCCCTACTGGTCCAGCTGGGGGTACTACAGGGGCAAGCACCGGCGTCTGGGGGAGGGAGAGGTGGCCGAGCCCATCCCGGGGGCCCCCGGGGGCCCCCCGGGGGGCCCCATGGGGGCCCCCATGGGGGCCCCCATGGGGGCCCCCCCCCTGCTGGGGGGCCCCAACTTCGAACCCGCGGGCTTCCACCTGCCCGGCGAACAGCCCCGCAGCCTCTTCAGCAGCAGCTTCTACCCCGCCTTTTACCCCTCTTACAGCTACAGCTACAGCTACCCGTACAGCTACAGCAGCAGCAGCAGCAGCAGCTACAGCTTCCCCTACAGCAGCAGCAGCAGCTACAGCTTCCCCTACAGCAGCAGCTACAGCTACAGCTTCCCCTACAGCAGCAGCTACAGCTACAGCTTCCCCTACAGCTACAGCTACAGCTACCCCGCCTTCTATGGGGCCCCCCTGTACCCTCTCTACAGCTTCCCGCTGCTGCGCTACAGGGCCTGGGGCCCCTGGCGCCGGCTGGAAGTCCCGGAGCTTTCTCCCTCTCAGCAGTCCACTGCAGCGCCTTCTGAGGCCTCCCCCTCCACTGGGAGGTCCACTGGTCTCTTCCGGCGCGCCGGCGTGACCACTGGGGTGACCAGCGGGGTGACCACTGGGGTGACCACTGGGGTGACCAGTGGTCACACCAGCGGGCAGTACTACAACGCCCACTCCCAAGTGCCCGCTGAAGCTGCTGTTTACTCCAACGAGCAGCAGCAGCAGCAGCAGCACGAACAGCCCCTCTGGGACACTTCTTACAACTGAGCAGCAGCAGCACACACCGCCACCAGGCGGCGCTTTCCAAACAACTCTCCTTAATTCCTTCCTTTTCTGCAGCAGCAGCAGCAGCAGCAGCAGCAGCAGCAGCAGCAGGGGCTATTAGGCGGGGCTTGAGCTTCGAAAGGGCTTTTAGGCTAGTTTAGTTCACTGCTGAGCTTTTCAAATTAGTTCAAATTAGTTTTAATTCAAATTAGTTTTAATTCAAATTATTTTAATTCAAAAAGAATTATTTGAAATGAAAATAAATTAAAAACTTCGGAAAGAAACGAAACGGAAATGCAGCAAAGGCTGCAGCAGAAGAACTGGTGCTGCACACGTCGAGAAAGCAGCAAAGTTCAGAACCAAATTAATGCACAAGACAAAAATATAAAATATAAATATAAATATAAATGTAAATATAATTAAATATAAATATAATTAAATATAATTAAATATAATTAAATATAAATAAAAATGAAAAATAATAAATATAATTGAACTTCTTTTGATGGCCACTGTCTTTGTTCTGGTACTTTCTAATCGCGGGCTTTTCACTAAAAGCCAAACTTGAATATTGAACTAACTGGACCCAGTCCTGCTGCTGCTGCTGCTGCTGCTGCTGCTGCTGCTGCTGCTGCTTCTGCTGCTGCTGCTGCTGCTGCTTCTACAGGTATTGAAATTTGAATACAGTTCTTAAGATAACTTCTGCTGTGGTAGACAAAGCTGCACGGAAACGCTGCAGCAGCGGCGGGCTGCTGCGCAGGCAGGCGTGCAAGAAGTGGCGATCTGTGGGTTTTTTTTGGCTTTTTTTTCGCAAATTGAAAATAAAAGCAAAAAATAAATGCAAAAGAATAAAATGGAAAGAAAAAGTTGCAATTTGGAGGGTTTGGAGGCGAAAAGCTCGCAGTTGGCGCTCAGATCCGCTGGCTGAGGCGCTTGGCCACGGTGCGCAGGTGGCTGTACACCTTGCCTTGCGGCTTTCCCAGAATCAAAGAACAAATGGAATGTCTCGCCAGTTTTATGCATTCAAAAGATCCCAAAATGTGAATTTTTCTTCCTGCAATTACTATTCGAGTTCGGGTGGCGTTTTCAATGGCGAAGCGCGTGGAGCCGTTGCGCCCAGTCAGCCGCCCGATGCACCTGCGGAAACCTCGGGAAAGCGCAGCCATTTCGACTTCTTTCGAATTTCTTTTTCTTCTTTTCGAATTAATTCCACAAATTGAAACTATTCGACCCTTTTAAATCCAAAAACGACACAAAAACACCCCCAAACACTGCAGCAGCACCGCAGCAGCAGCAGCAGCAGCAGCAGCAGCAGCAGCCGCCTCCCCAAATTCAAATTCAGCCCAGCCCACCAACCACACCCACCCAACTTCAAACCAAACAAATAAAAAACAATAAATAATAAATAAATAAATAAAATAAATAAATGAATAAATAAATAAATAATGAATGATTGAGTTGCTGCAGCTGACCGGGAGAAGTGGGCGCCTGCGAGGCGCTTGACGTCTTGGACTTCGAAGGACTCCAAGTACATGTCTTCGAGTCTCAAAAGGGCCATCGCGTCTCTGAGTTCGAATCCCAAGAGGAAAGCTTTGACATAATCTGCAGCTTTGGCGAGTCTGGAGAGGTCATCTCCCTGCTGCAGCAGCAGGGCCCCCGCAGCAGCAGCAGCAGCAGCAGCAGCAGCAGCAGCGGGGGCTGCCCGCAGCTCCACGCACCGCCGCCGCAAGTTCATCCGCACCTGCAGCCGCAGCTGCAGCACCAAAGGCCTTATCAACTCCACCCATTGCTGCCGCAGCGGACTCAGCCGGTGCTGCGGCACTGCCAGCCTCCGAATAAAAGCATCTTCTTTATTTGCTGCTGCTGCTGCTGCTGCTGCTGCTGCTGCTCTTTCCTTCCTCCGGGGGGGCCCCCTCTGGGGGGCCCCCCCAGGGGGGGCCCCCGGGGGGGCCCCCGGGGGGGCCCCCGGGGGGGCCCCCTGGGGGGCCCCGTCGGGGTGCATGGGTTCGGGTTCGGAGTCGCTTTGGTTTGCTGCTGCTTCCTGGGGGTCCAGCCGGCGCAGCAGCTGCGCTGCTGCTGCTTCCATTGCTGCTGTTCCCGCGTCCGTGAGGGCCCCCTCTGCTGCTGCTGCTGCGTCTTGGGGGGCCCCCCCCCCCTCATAGGGTACAGCTTCGGGCCTGCTGCGGGGGCCCCTGCCCCGGCGGCGGCGCACGGCGGTGAAGCCCTCGGAGTCCATTTCAAGTTGGGCAAAAGTGGAGAATTTCGAAAGCTTTTTGCGGCTTTTATTTCATAATTCTCTTTTTAAAAAGTTTGGACTTGCGGGGAATCGAAAAAGGAGAACTTTCGAAGCAGAAGGAAAGACTTCAGCCAGACGGGGGCCCCGGACTTCAGCCGCCAAGTGCCCCGCTGCAGCCCTCAGGGGAATATTTGCTTCAATAGTTCTCTCCAATTCAAATTAAATCAAATATTCCACTTTTTAAATCAATTTCCACGCAAAACGTCCATTCTATTCCGCAAACAAGACCCCCACACTCTGGGGCTGGCGCCCGCGGGGGCCCCTGCATGTACACCGCGACAGGGGGGGCCCCGGGGCCCCCCTTGCTGAACCCTCGTGAACGAAAGCGGAAGAATTCTTCACTTTCTTCCTCTTAAGTCAAATATTTGTCTAAAATTTGTTCTTTTATTTCATTTTGGAAATAAAAATAGGAAAAAAGGTATAATTGAAGGCCCCCTTCGGCCGTTTGCCTGCGGGAGCTTCTGGGGGCCCGGTGTCTGTTGACCTTTTCCGTGGAGCTGCAGTGTACTCATCCCCCCCTTTCCTTCCATTTTCATTTATTTCTTTTATTTCTTTTATTTTATTTATTTTATTTATTTTGTATTTTAAATGCCAAAAGGATTTTCTTTTCCCGTTTTCCTGGGCCTCCTCAGCCCTCTTCCTCAACCAGCAGCAGCGCAACCCGAGATGGCGAGCAGTTCATGAATAAGGCGCCAAGTTTGGCGCCTTCTGCTTTATTTTATTATTAGTTTCAATTAATTAATTTATTATTTATTATTTTTTTCTTTTTATTTATTTTTAAACGCGGAACTCCATGAGGGCCCTCCATTCCTCCCTTCTGCGCTGCCGACGTATACAAGAGGGGCCCCAGCCCAGTACCCTTTCCAGCCCCTGGGGGCCCCCAAGGCCCTGCCCCAGGGGCCCCCTGGAGGGCCCCCCGGGGGGCCTTTGGGGGGGCCCCCAAGGGGTTCCTCTGGGGGGCCCCTTGGGGGGCCCCCTGGGGGGCCCCCTGGGGCCCCCAGCCCCTGTGGGGGCCCCTTGGGTACTGCGGGGAAGACAGCTGCGTGCGGGCGGCTTGGCTAGCTGCTTGCTGCGCTGCAGCAGCAGCACAGCTAGCTGTGCTGCAGTGCAGCTAGCTGCTACTCGCCCGCAGCTGGCAGAAGTTGCTGCTGCTGCTGCTCGGCTGCAGCAGCTGCAGCAGCGGGGGATGTTCGAAAACAGGGGCCCCTGGCAGCGGCTGCTGCAGCAGCTGCACAGGTACTCTGTGCCGCTGCTGGCTAGTGGGGAGCAGCAGCTGCTGCAGGTGTTTGCTGCTGTTGCTGCAGCAGCAGCAGCCACTTCGTGCCCCCCGCCGTCCGCTTATGAACTTGCTGCTGTGCTGCTGCAGCACCTTGCAGCAGCAAGTTCTGCTGCAGCATTTACCCCCGGAGGGCGGCTGCTGCTGCTGCTGCAGCTGCAGCAGCTAACCCACCTCAGCAGCGAAAGCAGCACTTTCGCTCTGCTGCAGCAGCAAGCCCTGCTGCCCATAGTGCCGCAGTGCCTGCAGGCGCTGCAGGCTGCTGCTGCTGCTGCTGCTGCTGCTGCTGCTGCAGATGGCGCTGTGGCAGGCACTGCTGCAGCACGAAGCAGCAGAGCTGATGCAGCAGCAGCAGCAGCAGCAGCAGCAGCAGACGATGCTGCAGCAGCTTCTTTGTCAGCAGTTGTGGCTAGCCAGCCATTTGCTGTTATTGAATTGCTAACAAATGCTGGGGGGCCCCCCCTTGCAGAAGACAGGGGGGCCCCCCTGGAGGGTCTTGTTGCTGCTGCTGCTGCGCTGCTGCAGCTGCAGCAGGGAGAAGCCGAAGTGCATGCAGTGTTTGCCTGCAGCAAGCTGCTGCTGCTGCTGCAGCACGCGCGAGAAGCAGCCGGGCCAGCCCAGAGCAGCAGCAGCAGCAGCAGCAGCAGCGGCAGCAGCAACGCTAACAACGGCAGCAGCAGCAGCAGCAGCAGCGGCTACTCCTGCACAGAGTGCAGCAGCTACATAACCAGCAGCAGCAGCAGCAGCGGCGCCCAAAGCAGCAGCAACGATAGCAGCAGAAGCAGCTACAGCAGCAGCAGCAGCAGCACCGTCAGCGACAGCTGTGCCAGCAGCAGCAGCAGCAGCAGCAGCAGCAGCAGCAGCAGCAGCAGTGTCTCTTTTCTCATTGAAAGATGCCTGCGCTGTTTGCTGCGGGCCCCGCTGCATGCGTTTGGCGCTGCTGCAGCAGAAGTGGCATTTGGGGCTTTGGAGTTTTTGGAGAAGTCAATTAAAAAAGAAAAAGCAAAAATAAAAGCAGCAGCAGCAGCAGAAGCAGCAGCAGCAGCAGCAGCAGCAGCAGCAGCATATGTAGGCCCGCATTTGGAGAGACACGAGCTGCTGCAGCAGCTGCTTGCTGCTGCTAAGCAGCATGCGCAGCAGCAAGCAGCAAAGAGAGCAGCAGAGCTGCAGCCGAAGGAACTCATACATGTTGTTGCTGCTGTGAGTCCTAAACCCTAAACCCTAAACCCTAAACCCTAATTCCGAAACCCTAAACCCTAAACCCTAATTCCGAAACCCTAAACCCTAATTCCGAGACCCTAAACCCTCGCCATTTTCACTGGCTGCGATTTTGCGCCGGGCTCTCGCCCCTCACTCCAGCCCCTTCTGCTGCTGCTGCTTCTGCTGCTGCTGCTACTGCTTCTGCTGCTGCTGCTGCTGCTGCTGCTGCTGCTGCTGCTGCAGGCCCTGCGGACTGGCAGTGCTGGCAGCTACTGGATGCCGGCGGTGATGCGGCGCTGCTGCAGTTTGCGAGGTGGGGTTTTAATTTGAGGTGTATGTACACCTCAGAGTTTGCAGTTTGTGGCGCTGCAGCAAAAGGAGCAGCAGCAAAACACTTCTTTGCTGCTGCTGCTGCTGCTGCTGCAGAATTGTTCTCTAAAGACCAACGCGCCTTGCTGCAGGTGGCCGCCGGGGTGATGAGCAGCAGAATGGCAGCAGTGGCGGCCCATCCTGCTGCTGCAGCAGCAGGAGCTGCAGCAGCAGCAGCAGCAGCAGGAGCTGCTGCTGCGCCTGCAGCAAAGAAGGAAGGAGGAAGAGGGTCTGGCAGCGAGCTGCTGCAGCGGAGAGAAAGAAGGGCCCAGGAGCTGCAGCAGCTGCAGCAGCTGCAGGAGCTGCAGCAGCTGCAGCAGCTGCAGCAGCTGCTGCAGTCCATTTTGCTGCTGCGGCTCTTCGAGCTGCCAAAGTCCTCAAATGTTTCTTGGACTTCTGGCCGAGCTCATTTGTCTTTTTATTTAAAAGAAAAAACAAAACCCAAATTGTTTTTCGAGTCTTCTTCATCTTACTGTCCGAGGCTGCTGCGGCTTCCTTGCTGCTGCTGCTGCTGTCTTGCTGCTGCTGCCATTTCCTTGTTGCTGCTGTCATTCTCGCGTTGCTGTTCTATTCGCGTGCTGCTGCTGTGCTGCTCTTTTGCTGCTGCTCTGCTTCTCTTGCTGCTGTACTGCTCCTCTCGCTGCTGTTTCGTTGTTGCTGCTGCTGCTGTGCTGGTTGCTGCTGCTTTATTTCTTTTGCTGCTGCTTCATTTCTTTTGCTGCTGCTTCATTTCTTTTGCTGCTGCTGCGTTTCTGCTGGACTATTTATTTGCTGCGCTGCTTTTAGAGCCAAGTGCGAAGTCAGCAGCAGCAGAAGAGAAGCTGCAGGGAAGGGGAAGCAGCAGCAGGATCTGCAAGGGGGCGGCGTGGACTGAAACGGCAGCAAAATCGCCGCCTTTCGAGCCAAGAATAGAAGCATTTGAAGCAAAAATGGAATATTAAATGATTTAAAATGAATGTCGCGTTTAATTGGAAGGAATTCCGGAGGTTTCCGGTGGTTTCCGCGCTGCGGCGTTGGGGTGTATAGGCAGCTCGGCTGCAGAAGCTGCACGCGGCGCCGGAGCGCCCGACCGCGGACTTCAGTTGATTTCTTTTGGAAATAAAGTTGAAAGCGAAAATGGAGGCTGGGGCTTTGAAAGTTTTCTCGGAATTGAAGAAACATGAGTTTTCAGAAGAGGTTTCCGCCGCGCTGTTCGCGGGCGCCGCGCAGGCGCTGGACCCCCGCGGGAAAGCTGAACTGCTCGCGCTGCTGCAGGAAGAGTCTTTGGAAAAAAAAGAAGAATTCGAAAAAGAAATTTCTTCTCGAGTTCTTCTTTGTCTCGCGAAGTCTTGGGAAGTCGTTTGCGCCTGTCACCGCCGGCGCGGCACGCTGGAGGCGCAGCTCTACGGCGCGCAGCTTCCGCAGGTTTGTGTTGCCTTTGAAGTGGCTTTCGTAATTTAAATTCAATTTAAAATGAATTTAAAATGAATTTAAATCGAATTTAAATTTGTTTTAATTCAATTAATAGTATTCCTCTTTGAATTCGGTCCGAAAGCCGCGCTGCAGCGCCTGCAAAACCCGATTCAACAAAAACTTGAATGCATGCAGCAGCAGCAGCAGCAGCAGCAGCAGCAGCGCGAGAAAGCCCCGACCCGTGCATGCATGTGCTGCTGCTTCAGGTGTACATTGCTGCAGCACAAAAGTGCCTCGAAGCAGCAGACTTGAAAAGCTGCTGCTCCTCTCTTTCCAAGTGCAGCAGCTCCCTTGCTGCTGCGCTGCAGCTCGACGACCGCCTTCTCCGGTATTCCCTTTTGCTGCTCCTTCCACTTTCCCGCTTCCAAGCGCACAATACCCGCTGCTGCTGCTGCTGCTGCTGCTGCCGCTGCTGCTGCTGCTGCTGCTGCTGCTGCTGCTGCTGCTGCTGCGCTGCTGCTGCTGCTGCTGCTGCTGCAGGAGCGCAGGGTACTTGCACGGGAGAGCTTCTGTGAACAGCATTCGCCTGCGTTGGGCTGAGACTTGGTGAGCAGCACTTTTTGTTTTTTGAACTTCAAAAGGACTTTTATTTTAATTTTTTTTAGGACTAAAATGCAATTAAAAGAAAAAAAAGAAATCCACAAAAGACACGCCGAGCCGCTGCAGCAGCAGCTCGCCGCCTGGCTCGCGGCGCCTCCAGAGGCAAGTGCAGCAAACCAGCAGCAGCAGCAGCAGCAGCAGCAGCAGCAGCAGCAGCAGCAACAGCAAAGTGGCATTTTGTTTAATTAAATGTATTTCTTCAGTTTGCTGCTTCGAATGTTTTGGGACTTTGCGCTTTGAGTCAAGAAGCTTTTAATGGCGGCGCGTGGAGGCCCGCTATGCTGCTGGCAGAAGCAGCAGAAGCAGCAGCAGCAGCAGCAGCAGCAGCAGCAGCAGCAACTGAGGTAAGTCTCGTGAAGTCCGTGCTGCGCAGCAGCAGCAGCAGCAGCAGCAGCAACTCGTGCTGCTTCGCCAGTGTACGTACACCCCAGAAGAAGGCCCCGGACTCCGCAGCGCCCGCGCATGCGCAGCAGCACTTGCGGGAGATTGCTGCTTCCAGTAATTTTAATTTTAATTTTAATTTAATTTTAATTTTAATTTTAATTTTAATTTAACTTAATTTTAATTTAATTCATTCTTTGCTGCTGCTGCTTGTTCAAACAGACTCAAAGACATGCAGCAAGCAGCAGCAAAGCTGCAGCAGGCGCTGCTGCTGCTGCTTGCTGCTGACCAGAAACACTCCCCCCTCTACTGGCATGTCTTGGCCCTCAGCTGCTGCGCCGAGCTCGCGCTGCAGCAGCAGCAGCAGCAGCAGCAGCAGCAGCAGCAGCAGGACAGGAGCGAAAGGTAGTTGGGATATTTTGCTTTTGTAGACGGAAATATTATTTATTTATTTTATTTTATTTCCCTTTTTAAAGCAGCAGCTCAAA